ATTCGTTATTTTATTATATTAAATATCGTACATTTAACTCCATAAATAATAGTCACTTCCAAGACTAATATTGAGACCCATGGCTGCAAGCCTAGCTTTAGCTTTTTCATTAAAGTTACGTTCTCCAGTGCCAATTTCAATGGTCGCACCAAGAAGCGTATCGATCCCGGCCGATTTGAAATCTGTACGAGCTTGAAGATAAGGAAGTATATATTTGATATCCACGTTAGCAAGGTATCCTTCATTAAGCACAGATTTCAGAATTTCAGGCTTGACAATAAATAGATTGCCAAGTTGACGAAGCATTTCAAATCGCTCGTCTAATTGGGAAAGTTTAAAAAGAGTAATAGTTTCTTGATATTTAGCAATGTCCCTGTGTTGAAATAAGTTGTTAGAAAGATCAAAAAACGAAAATACATGTGATGCGTAAAAGAATTTGTGCTTACTTTGTTAAAACTAAACCACCAGCCGGACTCACACTAAATTTTTTGAAATGTTCTAATAACATGCTGTTGTACACATAAAAATTTTAAACATATAATTAATCGCGAAAGTAACATTAAAAAATCATTAAGAATAAGCTTTGCGTAATAATAATCACCTGTGAAATGAATTTCCTATTTCAGTCAAGAAATGTTCCATATTCTTGCCATCAAGGCACTTACTAACGTTTGTATGAACTTTTTTCAGACATTCGACACAATTATTGCAAGGCTATAAATTGTAACATTATGATAAATAAAAAAATAGTAACCAGTGAAATCTGATATGGAAATACTTTAAACACATACTGCAGTTGCTAGACTCGCAATCACATCGTCCTCATCCCTAGGCCGAAAATCGACTCTTTTCTGACGAGATAGTAAATAATTCAACCTAGCAATAATAGCTGTTAAACAAAATTTAATTAATTTATTGAGTTAATCAAATAGAAATGAATGTACGTATAAATTACCACTTACCATCGACCATTTTTTGTACAGTCAAATTGATTTTATTTTCTACCCCAATCATAAATCTATTTTTATCAGAGGTAAGGTCACGATGCATAGTCAATGATGGCGAAGCCAAGGGAAGCTATATAACGAGATAATAAGCATTTATTTGTTAGACTTATGTGGAAAAAAAAAATCATAAATAAATGAACTAATTGTATATAGCTTACGATTGCAGATTGAAAATGATTTTGAACTAAATGTATAATTTCCCCAGTGATCTTTATCACAGAAAATGGTTTAAAAAAAAGCTCTGATTTGGGATCCATAACAGAGATTTGATCCAGACAACTAATTATTTAAAATAACG